CCCCCCCATGCAAGTCATTACCCCAGAAGATAAGTATTGTGAAGACTATTATAAAGCCACAACTACAAGATCAAAAAACGGCCGCTACGTTGTACGGCTACCATTCAAGCCACAATTTCCCGACACACTCGCCTTAGGCCACTCTCGAACCTCAGCACTTCAGCAATTTTTAAGTATGGAAAAAAACCTGCTTAAAAAAGGCGAGCTAAAGACCTCGTATGACAATGTACTCGAGGAATACCTCCAATTAAATCATATGGAAGTAGTCGAGTCATATGAAAAAATTACAAAAGGTAAATATACTTCATTTTACCTCCCACACCATGCAGTAATAAAGCCAGAAAAACTTACAACAAAAGTAAGAGTTGTATTCAATGCCTCGAAATGCACAAGCTCAGGCAATTCATTAAATGACGTATTATATACGGGACCCACACTACAACCTGATTTAATGCTCCTAATACTAAATTGGCGCATGTTTAAATACGTTTTCAATGGGGATGTCGAAAAAATGTACAGACAAATCCTTGTGCATAAAAACGACCAAGATTTTCAGCGCATTATATTTCGCAATTCACCTAGTAGTCCAATACGCGACTACAAATTAAAAACGGTGACATTTGGCGTAAATTGCACCCCCTTTCTTGCCATTCGAACACTTCACGAATTGGCAAACGATATAAAAGAAAAATTTCCTCTAGCAACCCCGGTGTTAAAAACACAAACTTATGTGGACGATATCCTGTCGGGAAGCCACAGCTTACCCCAAGCATGTGAATCACTATCTCAAGTGATCCAAGCCCTCAACTCCGCAGGGTTCCCCTTAAAAAAGATAACGGCCAACCACCCCGAAATATTAAAAAATATAAATAAAGATCACATATTAGACACAAACTTCCTCATCTTTGAAAAAGAAAGTACCACCAAAACTCTGGGAATACGATGGAATGCGATATCAGATCAATTCTCATACACTCTTGAGTCAATATCTGCAATATCCGCAAAAACCAAAAGGCAAATCCTGTCGTCTGTGGCAAAACTTTTTGACCCCGCAGGATGGCTTGCACCAATTATGATCCAAGCAAAGATACTCATTCAAGAATTGTGGCTAGACGGAACAGATTGGGACGAACAAGTTAAACCACTACGCTTGATAAAATGGTCCCAATTTGCCAACAATCTGAACACTATTTCGGAAATACAAATCCCTCGATGGGTAAACTACTCTCCCGAACATCAAGTCGAACTTCACGGCTTCTGCGACGCCTCTGAAAAGGCATACTGCGCTACTATATACGTGCGCACACAACAAGATAGCAAAACAACAAGCCACTTGCTAGTCGCAAAAGGCAAAGTGGCTCCGCTAAAGACCGTAAGCCTACCACGACTTGAGCTATGCGGGGCGCTCCTCCTTGCAAAACTAGCCTCCACCGTTCAAACCCACTTAAGCCTGAACAATCGCAAATTACATCTATGGACTGACTCTGGAATAGTTTTAGCTTGGTTAGAAAAACCACCCCATATGTGGAAGACATATGTGTCAAACCGCACAGCCCAAATAATTGACTTAGTTGGGCCAGCAACTTGGCGACATGTAGCCAGTGCTGACAACCCAGCCGATCTTGGCACAAGAGGTTGCAAACCCCTGCATCTCGCCACCACCTCACTCTGGTGGAACGGCCCCAGCTGGCTAACAGAATCACAAGAATTCTGGCCACAATCCCCGATACGCAACATAATACCCCCCGAAAGTCGAAAAATTGAAAGCTTTCATGCCGTATTGAATGATACTGACATACTGGAGCGATTTTCATCGTTCCCCCGAGCCCTCAGAGTAATAGCTTATATGTTTCAGTTCATAACTCGCCTCAAAAATAAAGTAAAAGGAGCGCCTAACCCCCCGCATCATGCACTAACACACCAAGATCTGCAACGGGCTAAAATGACTCTGATTATGTCTACTCAGACCCGCTATTATGACCGGGAAATAGCACTTTTGATGGTATCAAAGCCAATAGATAAAAAGAGCCCACTCTTAGCTCTTAATCCCTTCCTAGACTCGAAGGGACTGCTACGCGCCAATGGACGTCTGGCAAACTCCAGTTTGAGTTATAACGAGCGGCACCCAATAATAATACCCGAAAAATCCCCATTCGCCACACTGTACATAAATTATTTGCACTTATTGATGCTACATGCCGAACTTCGGCTCATGCAGCAAATGATACGACAAGAGCTTTATATCCCACGACTAAAGCCTCAGATAAAGAAATGTATTTTCCTGTGTAAAGTCTGCACTCTACATAAGCAGAAAATGCGCACGCAGATCATGGCAGCTCTACCACCTGAACGCTGCAATTTCTCTTTGCCCTTTACCATCACGGGTGTTGACTTTGCGGGGCCTTTCCAGATAAAGGCCTCTATGTTAAGGTCTTCCACCTTTACGAAGGGCTATGTGGCCGTTTTTGTATGTTTTTCGACAAAAGCGGTACACCTTGAGTTATGTTCAGATCTGACAACTGTAGCTTTTCTCGCGGCATTTGCCCGCTTTGTCGGAAGGCGTGGATTTCCCTCAAAAATAATGAGCGACAATGGCAAAACATTCGTCGGAGCCCAAAGGGCCACGGAAAGGCAATTTATCCAATTTATTAAGGAAGTCTCGCCTGAAATCATAAAGAAATATGCACCCCAAGGAATTAATTGGCAATTTATTCCCCCTAGCGCTCCACACATGGGGGGGACTCTGGGAATCCGCCGTAAAAAGCTTTAAAGCGCATTTCAAGAAGATCGCTGGTAATTACAAATTTACTTATGAAGAGTTCACCACTCTATTAGCTCGAATTGAAGCCGTTCTCAACTCACGGCCTCTCAATACCCTCTCGCAAGATCCCTCCGAGTTCACAGCCCTCACCCCTGGGCATTTTCTCAGAGGAGCTCCACTTCTGGCCATACCCGAGCCAGAAACGCAATCCCTATCACTCACAAATCGATGGGAAAGAATTAAAGTTCTCCATCACGAATTTAGCCGTCGATGGAAGGAGGAATATCTAAAAGACCTCCATAAAAGATACCGATGGAAAAACACTCAAGAAGCGCCAAAGATTGGAGACTGTGTCCTAATTCATGACGAATGTCTTCCCCCTACGGAATGGCGGCTCGGCCGCATAGAGAAAGTATATCATGGCTCCGACGGTCATGTCCGCGTAGCTGATCTCCGTACACAAAGCGGCATACTAACTCGACCGCTCGTCAAGCTATGTTTCCTTCCAACCGCCTCCCCTACCGATGGCGCGAATACCGATAGCTAAAATCGTCAAACCGCAATAAACGCAACGAAGCCGTAACAAAACCCGATAATATAAAAAGTGCCTAAATCCGTACCCTCGAACTCACACCAAGTGGCTTACACCTAGCAATCACGCTCATAACTGATGTATGCTATACTAAAGTCCGTTCTCCCCTAATGTAGGAAAATATGGACGTGGAAATGCTTGAAGCCGCACCAACGCCAACTATCCGTTCGGCAATCACCGTGCCCCGCCTGGCAGCACCGCCAGTAGCAGCTCCTCGCTCTACCGTGCCACGTACCGCAGCAGCTCCGGCCGCAGCGCCTCGAAACCCCACGCAACGACCCGCCGCCGCCCCGATGGCATCACTACGTGCCGAACCTCCACAAAGGAGCCCAGCAGCCGTACATGGCGTACGATGCCCACTGTGTCGTCGCCCACACAAACTCCGCCTATGCTCCATTTTTAGGAGTATGCAGCCGCCGCAGCGCCAGCAAGTCGTGCAAGCTCATGGGTACTGCCTGAACTGCTTGGCGCTGTCGCACGCCACGAGGGAGTGCGACTCCCCCATCATGTGCCAACTGTGCGACAGACCGCACCACACGCTGTTGCATCGCATCCCCGCACGAATCATGCCCGAGACACCAGTTGCCCGCAGCAATGGGCGACGAAGACCGCAGGGCAATATAGCACGATCGCGGCGACCACCAGCACAACAGGGCCACCGCACTTTTAACCACCCCGGGGCTCGCTATCGCGCTCCAGCAGGGACCCGTCGCCGACACCAGCCCACGCAACGCCCCCGTCGGGCAACCGGACTAAGCAACGTCGTGGAGACCCTGCAGCAACTCCAGCAGCTACTAGGCTGAAGACTCGCCTAGGGGGGGCCGGGATGGCTAAATGAGTTTAGCTGTTCCCCCCTATTGTCTATGGTGAATGG